ACCGAGGACACAGGAAGGAACACCGTTAAACGGCCTAGCGGGGAGAAGTGGACAAAGGCAACGACCCTGTATAAAAGGAACAACCTCAAATCAACAACACTCACTCAAAGACTGAACCTTATGTACTGACCACTCACGCTGTGTATATCCTTCTTGTCTGTGTTGTGAACTCGTCTGTCGTCCGTCAAGAGAAATACATCCGTGTACTTCCGTGTACTCCCGACTCGTCCATTTTACCCAAAGATCTTACTAAGTTACAGTGCGATGTTTACAGTGATGAGGCGGAATGCAGTGCAGTACTGTAATTGTATTTTGTTTTGCGTGTCAGGGATATGCAACTACCGCTTAGAACCTCTCCTGGATCTCAGTGGAAGAAAGGAAGAAAATGTTCCGGATATTTACGTGGTTGTTTGATGAGCATTAATTGCACCGGAGTTTAAGGCGATGCGTTTCCAAGCCGTCACTTGTCAGATTACTCGTGAGATGCTGAACCAGGAATCTGACCGAAGATTCGACGATGTCCTGGGTTTCGGTTAACGCAAGTATTCTTCCTCTGTTATAGACGCATTTGTTAATTATTTGCCGACTTCTGTGAAAAGCCCGTCCAATTCCTCCTCAGGCGGACGCGTCACTACTAATTAAGAGTATAAGTTGCCGAAATATCGTTTACATACGTGCTTCGTAATTCTTCTATATGAAGTGATTCCTTTTTCTGAAGTAGCCACGTATCAGAAAAGGCCTTTTTGTAGTGACAGAGAAGGCTCCACGGATCAAACGTTACGAATCTCACTAGCAAAAATTATTTCGTGTCTATGCAGAAGAATTTAAAAAATTCATCGCTTCTTAAAATTTATCCAAGTAGGCAGTTTCTATATATTCTCTATGCTTGTGCTTCAGATTCACACTGAAGTTGAGATCGGTTTTTCTGAAATCAGAAAGATATATTTGCGATAACCATTCGATCTTTTCATCAGGTATTGGATCCCATGCTAATTGGGCAATGGAATTTATACCCGGTTTGAAGACTTAGAATCGGACAAGCACAAGAGCCCCATGAAATGTCTTCAACTCAGTGCACAAGTCATGTGCGTTCGAAGAAGCAGTGGAAAAAGCTCAGGATGACATCGGCTTTTCCCTTCTCCGTCGACGATGCTGTATCTGTAAATGAAGGACTATGAATTGGGCATCACATTAGCGTACAACTTGGTCATCTTTAAGATAATGAAGGCAATGAAGCGTGATTTCTTTGAACATCTTTGTCTGTGATATTCTGGGAAGCTCATAAACTACGGCTTATTTACTATATACCTCCTCTTCACTGATTTCGTTGATGGATTGAGATCGCTGTATGTCTTGTATTGCGCCTCCCCTTCTCTTCTTGCTTTCTTGCTACATCTGTTGACCGTTTAACGGCGAAAGAATCAAGTCTGATGCTCTGATCTGAAACCGCTGTATTTTCAGGATTTCGAAATTACTTTATTCTTTGTTCGGGTTTTTTTTGTGCCAAGTGATGTTTCAAAGTGGGAAGACCACTCCAGAGCGTCGGTTTTTGGAGGTGCCGAACACCTTGCCTGTGAAATCATGTCACGATCAGCCAATCTCGGGGGCTCGCAGATCAAGCAGCCCTAGAAATATAGAAGGTGGGTCAAATAATCGGTTTCTCCTTGGAGCTTCGTGGCTTTTTCGCGGGACATGCGTTGTGGTATAAATTCACATATTCCGGTTTGCACTCGTTCGAAAAGAAAAATAAAACTAAAAATTAAATTCCGAAACACCGTGAGTCGCCCAAAATTTCACAAGCTATGTTGGGATCGTAATTAGCGGACGCAAACTATTCCTCTCGAATCCTCCCATATTTAAATGATTCTCGGTTCATAACCTTTATGTCGAAACCGGTTATGAATAGATGTGCTCCACAAGCTCCACAACTCTTCGTAGGGTTTGAGAACTGAATGCAGTGATGTTTCAATGAACTGAATATTCAAGCACTATGCTCAGATCCGATCATCTCCGACATAAATTGTTTTTTTTTTCGAAGATTCCTTGCCACTTGAACGAAGATTGTTATCGTCACTGAATTCACGAAAATTGACTGTGTTTCCAGTTCGGAGAATTGTACATGCTTGTGGAACGTCCGGGATTGCGTTTAAGAATTTTTTCTCTCGCATTTCTGTTGGTGCCATTTTGATTTTTCATCCGCACGAAAGCGTTCATGCGATTCGTCTTCGGTGTGAGATTTTGCGAATACAGAATGATCTCCTTCCTAGATCATCAAACGTTGACTCCCAAAATTTTAAATAATTATTTTCCACGTGCTTTTACTCCTTTCACTAACTGAAGATCCCCGAACGATTTTGTATCGTTACTTCTTCGAACAGGCATGTATTATGATATTATGTCAAGCAGGGTATTCTTCGAAGGAAAACGCTGTTAAAAAAAGATATCTCTCGATATGAGGACTACAGTCTAGTAATATCCTAGCCTGTGATTGTTCAGGAAGATCTCTTTTAGATTGAGGGGTTGCTTCAGTTTGAAGTATCAGAAACTGCAGAAGATATTGGCATGAGGAATCTGTGCATCCTGTTGTTCTTTTGGGATGAGTGCGTGAACTCTCACCGCATCCCAGCATTTTCCAGTTTTGAGCGCGTTAGTGTAAAGCTCAACTCCGCGACGGCAAAGGGGCCTCTGTTGATGTAGATTCGTATTCTTCATCGGATATTAATTTGTTGCTATCTTCTAGTGGGAAGAAGGGAATGTGTTCGAATAACCTATGGACGATCTATCAGTTAACTTTGGACGTGTTACACTTTCAAGTGCAACCAAATTATATCCAGAATGAAATGCGATGAATTTTCTGTTCAATTCATATTGGGTTCGTCATTGCCGTGTTCTAGCATTGAGTTCTCTGGATGAGGTGACAGGAAGGGGTGTAGGACAATTCCCCCGATTCTAATTCCCCCGCCTCTATTTCCCCTGAATAATAATCCCCGATTTTAAAATCCCCAGTCACAAAAATCCAAAATTAAAATGCCCGATTTTTAAAATCCTCGAGTGTTATTTTCCCTGACTTTAATTTCCCTGCTTTTTGTTGAAATCCCCCATAATAAAAATCCCTGATGTACAATTTCCCCCAAAAATAAAAAAACTGATGGTTGGACAATTGTTTTTCTTATTTCTGAGTGACAAAAATTGAATTTAACAAGTATAATTGAATAACAATTAAAATAACGTAAAACTGAAAAAAATGTAAAATTTGAAAAGGAAGAAACGAAAAAGTGAAAATTGAAAAAAACAAAAAATTTAAAAAAAGCCGCATCAGCAATACAAAAAATTTATTAATTGTATCTCAGTTTCACTGCTTTAGCTGTTTCCTTCAAAAATTTTTCCAGACTAATTTTGTGCCTGTTGAACAATTGACACAGATTCTTCAGGTTGGCATCCCTCTTCTTCTGCTCACCTCAGGGTAGAATAATTATAGTAGATTAAAAAATTAATCTAAAAAACCACGTTTTTCAAGTAAGACTAAAAAGCACAAAAAAAATTAGTAGATTAAAATATTAATCTAAAAAACCAAGTTTTCAAAAAGCAAAAAATAACCTTAAACGTGGTGCGCATGGAGATTGTTGGGAAGAAGTGAAATACAAATGAAATAGATGCGCACCACGTTTAAGGTTATTTTTTGCTTTTTGAAAACTTGGTTTTTTAGATTAATATTTTAATCTACTAATTTTTTTTGTGCTTTTTAGTCTTACTTGAAAAACGTGGTTTTTTAGATTAATTTTTTAATCTACTATAATTATTCTACCCTGAGGTGAGCAGAAGAAGAGGGATGCCAACCTGAAGAATCTGTGTCAATTGTTCAACAGGCACAAAATTAGTCTGGAAAAATTTTTGAAGGAAACAGCTAAAGCAGTGAAACTGAGATACAATTAATAAATTTTTTGTATTGCTGATGCGGCTTTTTTTAAATTTTTTGTTTTTTTCAATTTTCACTTTTTCGTTTCTNCGGGGATTTTAGTAAATGGGGATTTTTATTTCGGGGCAATTAGACACCGGGGGGAATAAACGTCGGGGATTTTTAAAATTGGGGATATTAGGATGGGGGATTTTTGAGCAGGGGGAATAGAGGCGGGGGAATTAGAATCGGGGGAATTGTCCGTCTCCCGACAGGAAGTTTTGAATAGAACATTGTCCTGAATCGCGTTTTGCTTAGCATCTTCGCGAACTCGGATCAAATCATCTTTGGGAATCCTAGTCCCCATTGCCGAAATTTCGCTTGAAGTGAATGTGTGCTGCCGTGCCGGTTCGATTCGCAGTCCGAATGTCAAAGGGATTCCAGGAAGGTTGTGCCATACATGATCACAATTTCAATACATTGTCCTTTATTTACGACTGAAAGAATTCTAAAATGCACCTTGATTCCTTGCCATGGTGTACGAACATTGATGGCCAAAGCTTGGCACTTCTATTTCCCTCTGCGGATAATGTAAGAATACGTGTGGTTGTTTTGGAATACAGTACTGCCTTGCGATTGCTAGGGGTATAACGAAAATTCTGGGAGAAAAATTGAAACCGCGTACGATTTAGCCGAAAAATAATTATTGGGGAGGAAGAAAAAAACATTCCTTGGCAAAAAAAAACCGCCCTTTTTGACCTACAGAATTTTGCCGAACATTTTTGCAAAAGTCACCCGGGCAACTTCCTGCTCATCACTCAACAAATGAGACACCCATCTTTCAAAATTTGAGTCAGATTTAATCGCTGGAAGCGATTCGTCGCGCTTTCCACCAGCTTTGAGGCCCGTCGCTGTCAAGCAGTGCTGTATTTGGCTGACCGAACCCCCTGATGAAGGAGGCTGCAAACTTGGCAGTGCACCAGAAAGCCCGAAAGCTCAACCAGCAGAAAGTTGACTCACTATGCGCTTATCAATCCTCTCTGCAAATCTCCATGCCGTCCTTCAGCCACTGTGCCATCACGCCTCACGAACGAATTCGATGTCACTGCGATGGGTAATTGTGGTCTTGTAACCGGGGTTCGTCGGGAATTTTATCGTCTGGGTAGTGTGGGTTGAAGTGCGACACCCATGGGGTTGTGGGGCCAAATATTTGCTTCCTTTCCTGTATTTTTTTCTTGCTTTCATAATTTTATTGCAAATTTTTGTGTCGTAGTTTTCCAGGGCGACTTTGACGAGTTCCCACACAGTCAATTCCTGTAAAAACCCGAAATTTTTTAAAAAGTAAAAAATTAAAAAAAAAATGTTTCATGAAATTCATCAGTTATGAGCCTTGGTGCATGGGACCGAATAACTTCTCGCTATATTTTTCTGTCTTTTTCTGTTCATATGATGGTATCTCTTGTCACATGAACGATACAAATTCCATGCTTTGATATGAAGAAAATGTGTTGTGCTGTATTTTTTCGAAATCGGAAGTACAGTATATTCTGAAATTTGTTATGCTTAATGGAAGCTAATTGTTTAGAGTGAGAGAAGGTGGAGTAGGCAGTTTACTTTTGCCCAAGTTTTATGTTTAATGATGACAACATTTTTTGGAGATGTTGACTTTCAGGTTAGGGCTTGGGCTTATATTCGATGACTTGAGTTTCAGTTTTGGGAAAGCAACTGAGCATCGTGTTACAGTGACCTTGTATTGACATCTTCCAGGAGTTCCAAGTGATTTCATTATACGCGGAAGCTTTTTCGTAACCAGGTCCAGATTTTGTCAGGTAACTTATTCTACGACTGGAAGTAGTAAATTTAATCGTGAGCTTTGCTAAAGGGCATGTTAAAAATACTGCATCTCCTTTTGTTGCATTTTTTTTATGGTCCTGTCTGAATCGCCGTACGATCAGTCTGATGATCTATGGACCTCCCTATGTGGAAGTCTTTTCGCTCAAACCTCCACGACTCGATTTTCTTCTTGCCTTTGGGCTACTATTTAGGGGACAAAAGAAATTGAATAGCGATGAAATTCGACCAGCTGCTTTTCAAAAGAAAGGCAGTGAATTATTGCGCCATTCTTTTCATGATTTGAAGTTCATGATCCTGCAATCTCTTTCATCCAGCAGTGTGAGTCCCAAAATATCAAAAATTTTACCTTTCTGTGATTAATTTGGCATATTGTTGAAAAAAAAGCTGCTTTCCCCAACTCGAAAGCTCCCTGAGTGAAATTTGTTTGCTGTTCCTTCGGAATTCAACTTGTGAGGGTTTCAACTGCAGTACGAATCTAGTGAACAGGTTGCATAGAACTTGAAAACGGGTTCAAGTGGGCTTCCTCTACAAAAATTCTATCAAAAATGAATTTTTCTCTATGACCATTTTTTTTGGTCCCATAAAATTCTCTCATTAAGAAAGGGTTCGCGACGACACCATTCTCTCTGCGATATTTTCCAGGTCCCAAAATTTTTTTTGTGGAGTCAGTGCACAACTTCATTTCGTGAAAAAATCGCACAACATCAAAGAATGATAAGTTCGAGGTTATTTTACAGCTAATTTAGGTTTTTTTGGTGTTGTGTTACTGTGTTAGGCTATTTTGGTTCGGACCTATTGATAAGGTTATTTATGCAATCGTTGATTTGAAATCATCAAATTGCCTTTCTTGACGCATCAGCGTGTTGAAAAAAATGCTAAGGGTGACGATTGCCCATGGAATGTTCTGCCTAAACTCGCGAGGGTTTTTATGGCGAAAATGGATAATTTCGCCGACTGTACAACTTTGAAACCTGACTGCCATAATTAAATTGACGTTTGCGTGCTTCCCATCGTGCAATGCGACACTATATAGCCATGAATCGCGAGCTGGGGCACAGGTGGTTGAATATCCGGGTTCCTCGCGTCTGAGTGCGCAAAAGTGGGCGGGAGTTGGTCGAATCGGACCAGATGATTTTGGCGGGAGAAAACGAGGGCGAGGTCACTCGAAGCGTGGGTCAGCCTCGGGTCGCAGTCAGCTGCTCAGTTTCGCCAGTTATCCAAGTGTCGTCGCGGCATTCGCGAGTTCTGCCGTTTGTGTGAAAAATCAGTGTTTATTGCGTCTTGCCGGTGAGAATCCCGCTGCAAAGATGAAAAGCCGCTTTATCGAGCTCAAATCAGGTCAGTACTGAGAGCGACTGAGATTGAGAAGAAATATTTTTTTTTTCGCGAAGAGAAGAACGAAAGAATTTTCGCAGAGTCGAATATCTGCGAACGAGCTTTGTTTTTTATTTCTGTTTCGACAATAAATAAAATGTTCGGACACTTCGGAGGACGGATCTGCCTCAAATTATTATCTTATTCTTTATGTTTTTTTTTCCTGAACGGAGTCCCAAAAGTTATTGTGCAGTGAGGAATTTCCTCCTTCCGGTTATGTGAGCGAGCAGAACACCCTTCTCGGAAAACTTTCACGAAGTCAGGCATGTCTTCAGGCTTGTGGATGGCATTTCTCGTATTTTGTGGAGAAGAAACAAGACGGAAAAACACAGTGCAAATGAAGAAATTTTGTTAAACCCTTGTTCAAATATTTCCAAGTGCGGACTTACTTCAAGAAAATACTGCATTACCATTTGAAAACTGGGTATGAAAGACGCTCCAAAAGCCCTTTGCCATCAGCCGAAACGTCGGGCATGCCGTAAAAGAATGCAAATGCTTTTGAATTTTTTATATTTTAGATGGGGTTTGATCCAAATTTGTGAACTTCAAGGTGACGTATCCGTGTCGATTCACAGGGAGGCTAAACTTATGTTTGTCGAAATATTCATAGCGTTCGAGTACGTTATTCTGAAATTTGATTCAAGTAGAACTTCTTTTTTTACGAATCGTTTTGACGTACATCCGTTTTTTTGTTGTCAATTACGGGAATTGGTGTGATTCACTGATTCCTACGTTAAAAGCCGGCCTCGACCGAAATAAATATTTACCTGATCTTGGCTTTGGCAAACTTGAACCGCTTGAACTGATCTGACTGAACTTGACGGAAGTGTTTTTCCAAACTAATTTGATGGTAAACTCGAACGAACATGCGAACATCTTCAAAGTGTGCTTATTTAGACCCGATCTGTTTATGTTCGAACTCCAGAAAGCGAATTGGACGTTTTCCTTATTTGTTTTTAACATGGGAAGTGTAAGCGATGACTTCTGGTTATTTCGGAAATCTATAGTCACGTTTTTGAATCGGACATTTAAAGAAGCTTGGTGTTTGACAACGAAGTTTTTCTGCAGTTGAAAATGAAATGTATTATTGTATTGTATTCTCAAGTCTACAATGCGTTACTTGAAAAAAAAAATCCTGGATGTTTTGAGGTACTTGTAATTTTTGCGGTTGGTCTTTAAAGCTGATAGACCTCATTCGCACCTGATCTTGTGTTTTCAACGCTGTGTGACACGTGTTTAATGCGATTTTATTCTGTTGAGTTTCATCTATTTTTGTGCCTTATGAGCTCTCTGTACAACTACGTTCTGTGAATAAAAAATTGTTTATTCCATAGGGTTCTCTCTTCGTGTTATAGGTGTTCTCTACTACGATTTTTTTGGGTTTCTCGAATTCTGATTTAGAGAGAGTCCCCAGTTCTTTTTCATTTAGAATTTTGAAACTATTTTTTGGCTCACATCATGGTTATAATTATCGAATTAACGAATCGCGAGCATTTTGCGTTCGATAGGTATACAGTACTTGAATTTATTTCCGATCGAATGGCTCTAATGTCATGACTTTCGTTCATCGGCTAATGAATGGTTCCTCAGCCTTGGCCGAATTTTGAGCTAGTGAAAAGTAAAGGTAATGTATGCATACTGTCACCCCTAATTATACCCATCAGCCTCCGAAATATGCTTTGAAAATAATACGATTGTGGATCGACTCTATGTGAAAATGAAACAACACATTACTGAGTCGGAAGCAAACATCTTTAATATGCAGTACAGTATAAACCATTTGTATGTACAGGACGCGCAGTGGATCACAAGTTATGGGGTAGAAAAGCCATCATTTTACAGGAGCTAACAGATCACCAATGTACAAAAAAGTTTTTAAAAAATATCCCTTTATAGTATATATCAAGCGAAGGCAAAACAAATGCAAGTGATTCTCATGAACTTCACGTGGGATCCAGGAATGATGAAGATAAATAGTCATGAGAGAGTTGGATTGAGCTTTATTCTTCGAATGCAATATTTTTCTTTGGATAGAGGTAAGTTGAATCCGAAGTTTGCATTCAACATTTTTTTTTTACTGCCGCGAAAAATTACCGGAGGCGTAATAATTCGAAAACCGTCGTGCAGTATTTGTTCCTGTCACACGTGTCCATGTTCGAAGAACGTATCTTTCCAAGAAAATCGCGAAGAAAAAGCCCTTTTAAACCTACTGGAGTTCGCATTCGTGTTGGACGTGTTCAAGTGCTTCGTCTTGCAAAACTTTGATCTCGAGGGATATCGGTGTGTTGACCACCTGATGCCTAGGTTCATCATACCTTGAGCATCGAGTTCTTCTCAAGTGTTTCTTTCGAAACTTGAGATTTACCACTTGGACGACCTGCGTTAAGATCCTGGAATGAAATGATAGTTTTTTCTTCGTGTATCGAGAAAAAAAAAATGCCAGTATTTCTTCCGACTGGTTGTGATGCCTGGAAATATACGACATATTTTCCGAAGCATGATTTCAGGGCTTTCTCTTGGTTCGCTATGATAAGGAATCCTTTTTTTGTCTCCCTGCTCAACGGAGAAGTTCATTTGGAAAATAAAGATGTCATGTGATTTTTATCTTTTTGCTTTTTGGTGGAGTTGAACCTCTTTGCGTGGAACTTGGAGGGAGCACAAAAAATAGGGAAACGAAGAATTCTGTCTGGGGAAATAAGAATGAAAGAAATTAAATTGTAATTGGTGATCTCCTAGGCCTTGAATTGCTTTTAATAATGAGTTAACAGGATTCTGAACTTGGAGGCATGGGTTCATTTGCCAATTAGTCTCTCATTTCATTTTAAAGCTCATCTAGTTACATTATGTTTTTTTTCTCTTTCCCGGGTCAATCAAATATTGTAATGGCGAAAAATTCTCCAGAAAGTTCGCGTGATGATGGTTTGACAGGGAAAACCTTCGAGATGGGGAGGTTTTCAATGCATTGTTTCTGAGAAAGTTCAGACAAGGACTTGAAAAAATTTGAATTCGGGAGGTATTGTCTGAACGAGGTTCTACTGGTCGAGGTTTACATTTTTCATTTATACCTGAGGACATTTTGAAACTGTTATACTGTACTTCGTGACGGCAAAATATTTATTGAGAAAATTCGGCAGTCGCACAACAGCGAATTTTAATGTGCAAGTTTACGGAGACTGAATTTTTCAATCTTAAGTGAGCTGTTCTATAAATGACGGTTCTTAAGGTGTTTGAATTGTACAGTATCTGCATTTTGAAGGTAAGCACCAAAAAACAAGAGCATGGTGATAAATGCTGGAGAAATTCCTAAAATGTGACGTTTGATTATTTGAATAACGCTTCATGTGAACCAAGCACTGATTTTGACATCGAATTACAGTATCGTTGGTTCCAATAAATTTGTAGACTCGTCCTGGAATTTAGGACGCGTTTAATATTCATCGTGAAAATACATGTTTTCTTCTGTAATAATTCATAAATAGCCTTCATTCCCTGGAGTGTAAATCGTGAGTTTTTGCACTTCAGCTCAATCCAACTCTCTCATGACTATTTATCTTCATCATTCCTGGATCCCATGTGAAGTTCATGAGAATCAATAATTCATAAATAGCCTTCATTCCCTGGAGTGTAAATCGTGAGTTTTTGCACTTCAGCTCAATCCAACTCTCTCATGACTATTTATCTTCATCATTCCTGGATCCCATGTGAAGTTCATGAGAATCGCTTGCATTTGTTTTGCCTTCGCTTGATATATACTATATAAGGATATTTAAAAAAAAGTTTTTTTTTAAATTGGTGATCTGTTAGCTCCTGGAAAATGATGGCTTTTCTATCCCATTACTTGTGATCCACTGCGCGTCCTGTACATACAAATCGTTTATACTGCATATTAAAGATGTTTGTTTCCGACTCGGTAATGTGTTGTTTCATTTTCATATAAAGGCGATCCACAATCGTATTATTTTCAAAGCATATTTTGGAGGCAGATGAGTATAATTAGGGTGACAGGATGCATACATTACCTTTACTTTTCACCAGCTCAAAACCTGATGTAAAATTCGGCCGAGGCTGGGGAACCATGCATTAGCCGATGAACGAAAGTGATGACATTAGAGCCATTCGATCGGAAATTCATTCAAGTACCCTGCGAACGAAAAAGTTTTGCGATTCGTTTATTTATTCGGCTTGAAAAGGGAGGATATATTCGTGAGGCCAAAAAACGCAAATTCTGCTAATCAATCGATTCGAATGGTTTAAAATGCCGTATTAATGAATATTCTATTTGAAAATTCAGATAACGACGAACCTTATTGTAAGGTTCCCCAACCCATTTGGGTCTGGCTTACGGAAAAATTCTAAAATAAAAAATTCTATGAACTGGCAAACATTTTCGAGCATTCTCAGAGATTTTAATTTGATCTTACCAGGTGAACCTCGATAACTCGAACCTCCCCAAGTCGAATGCCGTTTAAGTCGAATTTTTCAGGTCCCATTTGAATCCCCTTAGAACCAATAGAGTAAAAACCCCCCGAAGTCAAAAGCTTTTCCCCTGAAACCTCCATAAGTCGAATTTTCTGTGGCCTTTTTACCATTATTTTCTTGAAAAAATAAAGAAAAAAAACCAAAAAACCCCAGAAATTTATGTGCTTCAAAGGAAGTGAAAGACTTGATTGGGCAAATGAACCCCTGCCTTGAAGTTCAGCAACCTTTTAACTCATTTAAGAGGCCATTTAAGCCCCAGAATACTGTATTACCATTTACATTTTTTTCAAGTTTCCCAGAAAACGAGGCTTTTTTATTGTATTTCCAACGTATAAAAGTCAAAACCTCCCCAAGTGAAAACCTCTCTAAGTCGAATTTTTTGCAGGTCCCTTGAAATTCGACTTGGAAAGGTTCGACTAATATTTTTATTACGAGGTAATTTCCAAACAAGTAAAAGCTTTCTAAAAAAATTCAAAAAATTCCCGAATGGTTATGCCTGTTGAATTAAAATTTAATAAACGTAGTCAGGGAATTCTCTCGGATAAAAAAAAAATTTGATCCTATTCCGAACAGGTGGGTTTGAAAATTGGTTTCATTAACCAGAGTAAAATTTTGTTTTTCGTTTAGAATACTTGACTTAAATTTCAGAGGAAATTTCCGTGTACAATTTGCTTGCTCAGGTTCCTCCCAGTTCATTGTGAAACTAGTGGAATTCAATTATTTTTTTGCAGGTTTTAACTATGAAGTTCTTGAGCTAATCATATATCCTTATGATTGCGGGGCATGTAGAATGTCATCCGTACGTCTAGACGTGAAACAATTACTGACACTCAGCATGAGCGTTTCCAAGAAACGGTCGAAGTTCTTGAACTTTTTTTTAGTTTTCTTTCATCCTGTCGCAATATGGAACGACTTCTTTCCACCCACGCATGCAGAAGTACAGTAGAAAGAAGGATAAGGAAAGGAGGTTCTAAAGAATGTCCCCCTTTTCTTGACTATAAAGGTTATGTGAGAGCAGGCGTGCATATGTAATGCACTCTATTCCGCATATGACGAAAATTCATTGAATTGTAAGAAATTGTGTGAAACGTCGGTGGAGTGTTCAGAAAGCTAGAGGTCACGTGATCGAATCCGTTTTTTTCTGAATTAGAGAATCCTTGCAGTAACGGTTGCTGCAAGACCCATGGATCATCCCTTGTATATTTACTGTACAGTATTCTAGCCTGGATATTTTATTCAATTTTTCGAGAAATACCGTCTCACGGGGGTTTTACTCCTGCTTACGCGTGTGTAAGCCAACCAAGGGTTTTCAGTTTGACTTTTAAAAATAAAATTTGTAGGCTGCGAAAATTTTCTGTTTTTTTTTTTCTTTCAAAAATTATTGCCTATACACGAGTACAGTAAAACCTGAAATTTTCCCTGTGGTGAGTTCTGAACTGCGGAAGATGAGGCAATTTGAAGCATCATTTATCCAACGCGTAGGGATTGCTACGTTATACAGTATATTCCTTGTAGGCAACGAACCCATTTTCAGTGAGACCCCCGCATGCGGACACCTCGACCTGTGGACAATTCGACATAGGGACACTTATTTTCTATTGAAAAATTAATAAAAAAAGGCCCGACATGCGGACACTGACTCGACATGGGGACATTTTGTGATAAAATTGCAAATCAATTTCAGGCCAAATTACAAGAAACAGATATTTCCAACCCTAAAATTGATGTAAAAAAAGTTCTTGGGCATTTCACTTACCAATTTACCATCCATTTAGCTAATTAAAAAAGATTACCCCCAGCAGAGAGGGACTTCCTTCTCTCTTTTTCATTTGAATGTTATTTTTTTTTACAGAGAATGCCAACATTTCTGTGTACTGTACAGAGGTATCAGTATTCAATTCCCCAAATGCCCATATTGTGTTGAAATATATTGATTGGAATCAGTTTAAATTGGGAGACAACTTTAATTTTCATGGAATTATGGTGAGTATTTTGTACATAAAACACAAAATAAAAATTATATAATGATCCCATATTGTGTTGAAATATATTGATTGGAATCAGTTTAAATTGGGAGACAATTTTTATTTTCATGGAGTTATGGTGAGTATTTTGTACATAAAACACCAATTAAAAATTATATAATGTAAGTCTGAGGGAAAATGAGATTCAACTTAGGGACATTTTGACTTATGGACACTCTTGATGCACCGATTACATCTGCATCTTGGGGTATCACAGTATATCATAAATTCTTTATATTTTTTAAATACTGTAAATCATATCCTATTACTGTATTTATTCATGTACCACACAATCTTGATTAATACGCGCACTGAGAGTTTGTCGGTCTAAAATTGTGATAACATTGTATCCCTGAGTAAAACACGCACCCAAATTTTAGTGACCTTAAAACTGCAATACTGTATTTTAAAACTAAGAACCCCCAAATTTGAAATTAGACATGAATTCAACCATTTTCCAATTATCTCCACCACAATGCTGACATCGGTCCAATATTTCCCATCAGAACTAGATGAAATACACCCCTAAACTTCTAAAACTTTTTGGAAAATGTATAACCTCTCTAAATCGCACCCCCTTTTTTCCGCTCAGTTCTGGGAAAAAAAGGTGCACGTGGTACTCGAGTGAATACGGGTACTGTATACTGAATTGCATATGCCGTGTTTCCTTCTTAGTGTAATAATATTCCATTAGTAGAGAATGCAAAGGTGAGGAATACACTTGAATGCATTGGCTGTAGGTCGAGTTTGGGATTTTTCAGGGTGTACGTGAAGAAAGTACTGTATGGTCTATATTCGCGCGTGAATACTATCTGGGGTCCAGAACAGAAGGAGAGAATAAAAAGAATCCCTGTTGGCGTCGATCCACGCGGAAATGCTTCGGACGAAGCCATTTCGCCGCTTGTAATATCTCGTGCTCGTCGGGATTGTTCCAGTTTTTGTGTGTGATTGAAAACATGGGTTTCCTTGGCAGGGTTCCGACCAGTGCCTGCGCTGAAGGAATCCATTGGAGAAACTGGGCTGTATGCCGTGGCCGGGATCTGCGCCGTGTCTCTCAGGGAATTGTTCCTCGAGTTGCGGACGGATGTGAATGCGAATCGCGGCGGACGCGGCCCCAAGATGAGACCCGAGAATGGCGGCGAAGAGGACGAGGATGAGCTGGATGCCCCGCTCATGGACCTGGAAGCCCTGACCAATTCGGATCGCGACTTTTGCCACAGATGCGTGCGACAGCTGATTCAGCATCTCGGACTCACTGAGAGAGTACGTCATTTATTTATTTGATTTATTTATTTACAGTACAGTATTTCTATTACCGGTTTTTTATTCGAATACCATGCTCACTTTTTTCTTTTTAGCATCTCGGACTAAGCAGGGATAACTTTTTTTTCAATGTCATGTCAAAATCTTAGGTTCTTGGCTTACTCAAGGGCACGTAGTACTCAAGTAAATATGGCAAATAATTCATGCACCAGATATTAATCCAACTTCACTAATGGGTATGTAGGTAAATATTAGGTACCATGTGTCAGATTTACTCAAGTATGTGCACCATGTGCACCTTTTTCTCAAAATTTAGAAGAAAAGAGGAGGTACCCATCATGGGCATACATTTTTGAAAAAAAAGTTGAAGGTTAAGGTTTCCATCATACGTGATTCTAATACTGTTCGAAAGTTTGGTCCAATATTAACATAAAAACTTATTTTAACGGGAAAAATTGAAAATCGATTGAATTGCAGAATATTTTCCGGGGCTACGTTTCAATAATTTGGACTTCGAAACTGTGTTTGAATTCGGTGAATCCGACTTCAGTATTAGGCTTTGAAAAAATACTGGATCAATGATTCTAGTGTCATCAAGAACACATTCTGTCCTTAATTTTCATATTCACGGCAGCCTTCAGGCTCATGAAGCAATTTCGAGTTTCAGAAGATGTTTTATCGTCCAAAATTCCATTTGCCTCGCTTCGTAAGCCATGAAAATTAAATATGGCTTGATCAATGCTGAAGTTGAACAAGAGGTGATTAAATTACTGTATACTGTACAGCGTACAAGTTGAGCAGCTTTCCTCTTCCGGTGAATTTTAATTGCAAGAATCAGCTGTTCAGACAAAAAAAAACAAACACAAATTTCAACTTGCGAAGTCGGAATTTAATTGGAAGTATTTTGTGCCACTCTTGACTGTCAATCCAAGATTATGAAAAGGTTCTTGTTTCTCGTAACCGTTTGAACCATCTACGCAAAAATTCTCTTGGACGCTCTCAACCTGTGTGATGGCCTTTTTCGTTCCGAAAGGACAATACAGTATTACAAAACAGACTAATTTGCTGGAAAAGAGCAAGAAAGTTTTTTGCCACACGCTGTGTTTCTCCAAAAATACAAGGGGAGGAGGCATCCGCTTGATGAGAAGCTCGAAAAGAAACTTCATCACGGCAGCATTGTGAGAAGTTAACTCGGAAACTTGACGTTCTTCCCTTCTTCTCCTCTTTTGATGATGGCGGAGAGACGTGATAACCTCGTTTGAAAACTGTATCAGAACTGCCGTAATGTTGTCATCGGCCGGAAATCACGCTATCATCGCTATTCCTGGTGGGGGAATCGTGTAGAACTTTGCACGGGAACAAGCATACTTTTCCAATCACTTTTTAAATTTCCGTCGGTTGTCGCGAACGAACAGGTTTTTTCTAACGAAATTTCCCGCGCTCAGCGAGGCCAAAATTCCTTCGAAAAATGCAACTTTGAAACGTCATGAGTTATTATTTTTCATGATCACGAGAAAAACTTGAGTGTTTTGAGATGAAAATGAAAAACATGTGAAATACCTGCTGCTGATCTTTTCCGATGAATATTCTCAATTTTGGACATCAGAGGACTTGTTTCAAGGTTTTGGCGGGATCATGACAAAATACAGTACAACTTAAAGATCGCAAATCGAGCGAGAAAGTCTTTAATTTCATTGTAGACAGAAGAACTATGTATGAATATACTTCGCATTTTTTGAAAATGACGTGAAGTCTTTTGTATCAGGGGCAGATGTGAGACTGAAGTACTGTCTATAATAATCTAAAAGCAAATCCAAAGTCGCATTGAAATTTTCACGGTGAAATTTTTGTGGGAAAATTGGCCTATATTTAAAGTTAATACAGGTTTTTGTTCATAATTTTCTAAAATTTCCCAGTTTTGACAGTAGTTCACATAACACGAGAAGGTTTATCTTTTAGTGGATCACGTTAGTTTTAGTGGATACCAGAACTATAGTAGTTCTGATATAATTTTTACATTTTTTCATGATTCATTTGATGTTCACACAATAAAATCAACTTTGAAAAAAATGGACGTTGAAAAAAATGTCTTTTGGATGCGAAGAGCGTTCATACGAACGTATTCGCAAATATTTGTTTCAGCAAAGGGCAAAAATAATTTGAGTTTTCATTCCCTGAATTGCGCGGAAGTGCTTCAGGCTAATGTCATCATTGCAGGTCGGTGCACGTCTTCGTATTGCTGCCGAATGCAAAATTCACCGCCTTTTATTTCGCGCGCTAAAATCATCCGTCCTTGAAATATTCGACCTTCGGGAAACCGCAGGAAAATTTGTTTTTCCACTTGCGAGAAGTCTAATAGAGATTAATGTGGGTAGCATTTGCGAGATGACATCGAACCTGTGGTTCGAGCTTCTTGGAAATTACTGGATTTGATCGATATTATTGATGAACTGTATTTTTCGAATGGATCTACCGCCTTGAAGAAAATTTTTGTCCTTAGAATTCTAGGAAAGCGTTTTTTCCGCCTATGTTTCACTACCGATTGTCCCCGAAGGATTTGAGAAATTTTCCGAAAATGTTTGATCGATGGTGAAATCCTCAAGCTTTTTATAGCTAGCAAAAGAGAATTAAAAAAGAAAAGAAATAAGACGAAGAACGTTGACGACTGAAGCGTTGATGATGGTCTTGGTTTCTAATGACCTTTGATCGTAACGACCGATCAACGTTACAAGACTTCGCTTCTCTTCGTCTTTCACTTTGAAATTGAGTCGGGGAAATGCGTTTTTAACGCGTTTTATTGAGAAGATTGTATTTTGTGTGTTTATTTTTTTGAAAGTCTATGGCGAGGTTTGGAATGAGTAAAATTTCCCGCTGAAATCCCTTTGAGGTTATGTTGAAAAGATCACGAACTTCCGCGAAAAAAAAGTCTTAGGTTACGATCATATGGCTGGAAAGAAGGGGAACGAAGACAGTAGATGGACGTTTTGAAATGGATTGACCCTGAAAAATTTACGCAATAAAAGCTTAGAAAATGTTTTTTTAAAAGTTCCATTCCAATCTGTTTTTCAAGATGAAATTGTAATGTTCACACAGGAGCATGTGTATAAAAAAACCGAGTAATGGGGGTTACCCTGGGAATTTCTGTAAAAATTTAATGGTTTGTTTTTCCTTTTCCAAGGTGTGCCTGCTTTCAAACGAATTTCGCGCAACAAATGTGTGAGTGAAGATGATATTTCAGGGTAATCGAATAATTTATTTCGTATTTTATTGTTTCATGTTTGCGAGAATGGCGAAGAAGAGAGAAATTCTTGGTGTTTGGAAAATTCGGCTTCATGATCCCAGTCGCTCTTTTTTTGTAGAATCTTACTTAAAATGTTTTCTGTTCTCTTTGATTGATCGATGATTGATTACATTGAAGTGGATCGATGGACCGCATTTTATTCGATAACACTTTATAAATTTAAAACCTGAGCAGTGTCTCCTTGAATTTCAACCCAGCTCCGTATGCAGTCTTAAATACGGTGTCAAACGAAGTGCTGTATCTTAATGCAATCTGAAACCTTATTAAAATTGAAGTAAGAAAGAACATCGAATCGATGAAATATTTCTCCAAGATATTCGTTATTAAAATTGACTCTCATATCTTTTAATTAGTGAAAGAATTCCCCAAGTCAGAATGTCCGCATTGATGACCGGAAGTTCTGCCTCTTTTGTAAAGCATATCACAGATGATCTAATATTGTACTGTTGGAAATTTTGATCCAAAAGGTTCAAAAATTCGAGAATGACTCATCATAATATTAGTGACACTCCCTGAAAATTCTAAGGAGCATTCATTAGCTCGGATGATAAATTGATCGGATGCAAATTAACGTGCACGAAATTAAGATTGAAAATTTACGGACCGCTTTTTTTCTCCGTCTGATGAAGCAGTATTTCCCGCAGTTAATTGGAGCCAAAATAATTGGGAGTTCTACTAATCAGCTGTTTCATCTCATTTTAAAATCCTTTGTTTTGGAATGGTTTGATTGGCGAGTTCCGCCCGACTGAGTGAGCAGTACGTTGCCATCTAAAAATAAGAATCTCGGGAAATTTTTCGTTTTATGTCGACGCATTCGTGAATTGAAATCGTTGCACATCGTCGAGATGTCGTATCTCAACTTTTCTTTCATTTAAAGTGAGTTCGGTTTCGGTGTTGACGACAAAACTGTCGTCTATATATATATATATATACATATAAGGCCTTTGCTTTGAAGTTTTATGAGCTATACCGAGTCCCCCGCTTCGCATTTCGGCATCGCTTTTGATCACCATTCCGAACTCGGAATCGGAACTGGATTGCCCATCTCCGTCTTTTCAGTTTCCTGATGGCGGGTTCGAAGTTCCGGAAGCCATCCGAAGGAAGTTCAAAGCGAGCATCTAGGGAGATGACACGAGATGAGACGGAAGAGAATCGATGGATAGATTTCCAGTCCCCATGTTGAAGGGAACTTGGCGGAATATAATCACTGGGTAGGAAAATTGCGACTGGGAATTGAGCTCGCGATATATATTTTTTTTCAATCTCCCCACCCAGTATACTCACAATTGCTCACCGATTAGTTTGCTTTTTTTCTTTCGTTCAAATTCGTTTTTTTTTCTCATGAGTAAACAGATCTGTTTTCCCTAAAGCTTGGTAAATTTATTTGGGGCAACGTTTCGTCGTGTTTTCCCCAGAAGGAAAGCATTCTCAAGATAGTGTATGCATAAAGACTTTCTCTACAACGATTTTTTTTTGCAATGAATTTCCATGCTTGATACCTTTTTTTTTAGTCCTGTTGAGTTCTCTTCCCATGTTATGAGGGTCCTCTGCACACGAAATCCTCTCTGCAAGCAAAATTTTTTGCTCCCCTGAATTTCGTTGTAGAGAGTACCTTTTTATTTTCTTCGAAATGTATCCTAACGCTTTTAAAAATGCAGGAACTCTCTCCACAACGACTTTGTCATGGTCCCCTGGATTTCGTTGAGGAGAGAGTCCACCTGTATATTTTTTTAAATATATCCCGTGGCCTTTTTTATGTTATGCTGAATGACATTAGGTTTTTAGGAAAAATTTAGAAAAACACCATTCAAAATAAAAAATGTTCTACGATGTCTTTGGGGTTTTTTTTTTGGCTAGAAAAAAATGTTACTGAGGTACAGCTATCGAATCATTTCAATTTGTTAGGAATCGACCCATCTCATGTCCCTTGAAAATCCAAGACCATTTTCTTCCATGATGATGGTTATTTTGAGTTTTGAAACAACCTTCAGTTTTTTCTGCATTATCAATGTCCGAAACATTTTTCACCGAAAGAGCGGGAATTCTGAAAAAAAACTTGCTTTCGTATGATTCGCGAAGAAGTGCTTTTCACTTAACTTGATGAAGTGTTGACATAGTACGAAACATTTTGACGCGTTTTCTGTGTCAAGATTTGCTCGAGGTCCGGCAGCGGATATTTGAAGATGGTTCTGTTTTTTTTTTTTCTAGTCGAAATAATTTTTTTTCATTCTGATGATCCTTCGTTTGTATTTTTCGTCGAAGTTTAAATGCACTCTCTTCGAATGGATTTTTGATTACGCGCAGTATTTTATAGAATCTTCGATGTGCGAGCCTTGTGCGTTTAGGCTCTCCTATCTAGATTTTGTGAAGGTAATTGAAAACGAGAGGCGGATGAGTTTATGCTTGATGAAGTCGTTTCCTAACGCTTGTCTAACTGAGTGGGCGATGCTTCGAGATGCGTGTAAATGTATGTTTAAATTGTCAAGACAAATTTGAATATTGGCTCTGCGAATTACAGTACTCGATGTGGATTTGTTTTCTTACTGCGCAGTTTTCGTAATCGCTGACGAATAAGGTCGCTGTTATATAAGATTTCGTTTTCAGACTACAGGAAAGTATTCCGTGAACTTTGTTCAATTGATCCGGAAAAGGGGCAGAAGTTTTTTTTTTTTTTTCACGCGTAAGCTCGTGTTACATGCTCCTAGCCATTGATCGAATGATGTTCGATGGAATTGAGACGAGATTCGAAGCTCAGGATTTGTGCCTATATGTGTTTTTCCCGAGAATAGAAAAGTTGCTGACGGGGGTCATGAAAGGTTTTGATCCGCTGCATCCTGGGATGAGAATTTCCTGAGCTTATTGAGCAAATCTTTAGAAAGATTGGTGTGTTTCCCCGAACATGGGCGAATGCGTTTTGTCAATTTGATTTTTGCCGTATGTTTTTCAACTGAGTTCGCTGGAAATTTTTTGTTTGCTTGAAGACAACTTCATTACGTTTTTTTCAGAGTCGTTGGAATCGTCAGGTCGTCAACATGATGCTTTCAAGGAACATACAAGGATTTTTAGACACATCGAAAAGCGGATTTATTTAATGCTAGGTTTCTCTTGAACGTCCTGCAAAACTCGTGAATTGCAGTCAGATGAAGCATAACTATCCAATCTAATTATATTTGTAAGGCGTTATTGATTTTCTTCCGGAAGGGCTTGCATTTATTAATTTTCAGTTGTTTTTAAAATGCTGAACCTGATTTCAAGACACTCGTGGTGCTTTTTTGTGCCACAGAACCTTCAAGACAATTTCAAATGATATACAGTATTCAAGGACGAATAAATAATTTTGGAGTGATAAATTGTTGGCGTCTGTGTTTTTCTGTGCAAAAAACAAATGAACAGGAAATTAATGCCTAAAATGTTGTGGCTGTGAATGTATCTGTTGAAGAAGGTAGCTGAGAACCCATGGAGAAGTTTTAGAAACTTATTCGTGATAAAAAATCAAGCGAGATTTGACAATGCTGGTTTGAAAAAAAAAGATGGGACGGACATTTTCAGTTTCCTGGTACAAATTGTATAAAAATTTTTCATTTCCTAGCTGATTTTCCATGGGATTTATTTTTTCTGTAAATGGACTTTTTTGATTCACCACCAGGTTTCTTCTGATGTCCTTGAAAATTCGTCACTCGCCAGATTTGAAAACAACAAGTAAATAAATATTGAAACTGATCTTTCAATTAAATGCGTCTGGGAATGAGTAGGCAATCTTCTTAAATGCTTGAAATTGCAACGTTCATTTTCGCGATGAATTTTTTCTTACTTCAAATTCATCTACGCGAATTTCTCTCGGTCGATTAAATCATTCGACGAGGTTCTTACAACCCTTTAAAGGCCAATGGGTCGCTTAATCCGCATAAGAAGGAATTCTAATGATGATTTATGCTGTCAAGAGTGAGGCTGATGATGGAACTTCCCCTGGGAGAACGTTTCCGGACGTGTGTTGAGTGCGGAATGTCACTTCCGGTGCACTTCCGCCTTAATTCCGGCGCTTTTAATCAATTACGCGCGACACCATTCGTCGCTTTTGATGTTCGGGTGGGACACGTGTTTGTTTGTGTGTGCGGTTTTCTGCTTTGATCATCTCGTTGGTGGAAAGCTGGAATTTGAAAGCCCGTGATTTCCCTAGTTTCGAAAGGGGTGCTATTTGATGGAGTGTGTGTTTGTATCGAAGTGTTTGCTCTAGTGTTGTATTCGTGACTCTCTTGCTTGGAAACTCTTCAAAACAAAATAAAAAATAATAATTATCACACGCAATAATTAATTAAAATCTAGGCATTCTAGAACATTGCACTCGAAGACTGTTGAACTAAAAAAAAATTAAAAAAAAAAAAGGAACAAAAACATGTGGAAGACCACCCTGAAGCATTTGTACAAGAAGAAATGAAGTCCAATGACCATCAGACAGGATGGAACCATGTGAGCAATTTTTGCTTTAAACAACTTTGAAAAAGATTTTATTTTGGATATCTTGACACCGGTAGCAAGAAAAATTAGATACTGTACTTGCCTGAGAGAATTCGTTTCGAGCAGTTGTCAAAAAGGTCCGCTCAATTTGAATTCAGATCTTCGGACTTGTCTGAAAATCTGCATCAGACATGATTTTCTTTCTGTCTTTTTACTTTCATTTCTTTTTTTTTATGAACATTTTAGCCCAAAACTTTTCCCTTATTAAATGAGGGCTTTTGAGAAACCTACCGATTGCTGTGTTTTTTTTTGCAGTCAGATTTATTTATTTTTCGTTTGTAAATGATTATTTTCTTTGACACTGAAAATTTCAATTTGTGAAGTCTTGAAATGAAAGTATTTCTCAGTGAAAAAGTCCGTAAATGACTTCGGGAGATATCTTGGATGATTCTCTGGTTTCTCGTGGAGAAAATTTTAGAAGATTCATTGGCGTGTTTCCTGATCTTTCGCATGTTTTTAATCCTGAATTTTAAAATTTTGTGTACGACTCTCGAAGAGAGTTCTGCAACTTTCGATAAAAATAATGCGCTTAGTTTTTCCTTTCAAATCCGCTGCTACTCGAGCAAATCTTCGAGATCGTCGTCTTGATGAATCTTGTCATTTTTATTGAGACATTCCAAATGCAATCGGGTGAATGTCAGGCAAAAAAGTTGTAAAACTTTCGAATTTAATAAATTGAAGATTCACAACTTTCTGTTCGCAGGTATCCGTGGTTATGCTGGATATCATGAACGAAGGTCGATGTGATATGAAGTCCTTTACTAAAATCCTGTACGAAGAACAAACCATTTCCAAAGGATCCATCGGAGTGGCAGTACTAAAGGACTTGGTTTTCTTTGCAGTCAAAGAAGGTGAGTTCGAAGTTGTTAACTTGGGGAATCGTTTGAAGTTTGGTACTCGGGCAATTCGCTTCGAATGTCAACCCTATTCTCGTTTTACTAGTACTGTACAGTATTATCTCTCTTTTTTTGGTGGATTGAATTGAGATTGAGTCACATTTGTTTTGTTTTCTCGTCACGCCGCTTTGGAAACGTCAGGACTCACGACGGGTAAGTTGAACTGCTGTTTCATCTGATGCATGCTTGTGAAAAATCTAAAAGTATTCAAATTCAAGTATACTTTTCTATAATAGGTTCTTCATGCATGGCGTCGTGCTCCGTATTACGACAATAATTTAAAATGAAGCTTACGAGGACTATTCATGGTTTTATGGAGGTTCGCATCTCGGATACTGTCGAGTTCCATAAAACAAAACTGTGCCCAGATGATTTAGAAGGAATTTTCGAATGTCACATAATCTCCTGAAAGGCTCGAGCTGTCATGTCAAAAATGACAAAATTAGCTTTTCTTTCCTTAATTTTCAATGATCGCGATTTTATTTACGATTAAATACTGTCTGTGGAACATTTCTCCGAACAGTCTCGATAGTTATCTAATTTTCGGAAATTCAGATCCGGTTTTGAGTTGATAGGAATTATGATTTTTGTGCGTTTTCGATTTTTTTTCATCGATCGAGTTTTGCCCAAAGTTTACAGATTTAAGCAAGCTCTATTTTTGAAAAATTAATCCACTGATTCAAGTGAATGTTGCTCGAAGTAGAGAACATCTCACTGTTCATTTCTTGAACTAATTTTTCAGTGACATGTGAGGAAGAAAACAATACGATATTCAAGTTTTCTGGTCTTGATCGTGGATAGTTGACTGTTAATTTTTGAATGGAGACGTGAGAATATCCTCGATCTCTTATCGAAATTATACGGAGACTTCGATAAAGCTTCCGAAAAACCGCAAAGAATAATAGGGTTTGGTTGAGATCTAGATTTCAAATATCGGATAGAAATTAGAAATGCTGACATCGTCAGATCCTTGCGTTCGGGATTGATTTTGTGGGCGGCATATTTCAGATGATCTCGCGGTTTATAACAAAAGCACGGTCTAGGTCATTTTTTCTTGTACTTTTGTTCAAAATTTTACGGGATTCCAAATTTTTTTCCGGAAGTTTGTGGACTGTTAGTGTGCTGATAATACAGTACCCGCAAATGTTCGAAATTTGCAAGGACATGAATATCAGAGGTCAAGATGACGTAGTAACTCACATTCTCCAAAAAATTACGTCGTGTTTGCAAGGTTTTTCATTCTGTCCAGATTAAACTTCTTTCTTATGTACATGTGTATCTCGTTGGATGATTCAATTGCGAAAGTTTCAGCGCTGACGTTGGCAACTTCACCAAAAAACGGTGAACCTGGTTATCATGGCAAATTCACGCTGTTCGACCATCTTTAACAAGTTATTTTTTTAGGGAAATTTTTTTTATCCCGATTTTATGAAGCTGTGGAACCCATTTTAAGTGGTGGAAATTATTTCGTATTCGAAGTAGCGGTTGCATTCATTTATGTCAAATGAGTGATTCCATACTTTTCCAGTGGCAGTAAAATTTGAAAAAATTCGCGTAAATAAGCGTAGCATCTTGTTATTGCTCCAATGTTGGCTATGTTTGAAGAATCGTATTTTTTCGATGAAACGGACTCGAGCAAGGACTGCTTACTGCAAATATTGTTGCAGTGGAGAAAATCTTTGAGAGGGGTGCTCGTGAAATCTTTGAAGCTTTTGAATTTTGAGTTCTAAAACTACTGTATTGCAAGTGATCCTCGTGAAGAAATGGAATGATGGCAATTTTTGAAAGATTTTTCTACGATTTTTTCTGATGCCCCCAGTTTGTTAACCTGAAAATTTTTTTTGGGTTTTCTCATTGTTATCCGCTAGTATAAAGCTGAAAATTTTCCGTAGATGGATACTAATTTACTCTGAATCCTCTTCTAATTTGACTCAGGTGTTGTTGAAAATTTTCACACGACTTACAAAGTATTGTTCGATCCTCCATCGCGGAAATTTTTTTATTACACCTTTTTCACTGACAAATTCAATTCTTGGCTCGATGTACAGTGTTATATCACTCAATCCTGTTTAATTCCATTTTTAAATTTTTCTTAGCTAAATTTCACACTCCTCCATATAGAAAGCTTAAAAAGCAAGTACAGTATTTTAGAAAAAAAAAAATCTGCGATTTTCTGGATGCCGACTTACTGGTGGAATAATTTCATTGTTTCCGATTTCCCGCGAAATTTTGCCCGATTCCTTCCCCTGGCTATCCGATGAAGGAATTTCGAAGGACCGTAGAATAATGAATTCGAGGTTATTTTACCCGTGGCGAATCGAAAAAGCTGTCACGTGGATCAAGTATTCCGTCGTCGTCGTGAAACGGTAACGACATTTTCCTTCGCCATCAATTGTGCCTCTGTGTGCGAACAGTATACGAATATAGAGAGTGCTTGGTGACAAGTGTTTGATGGAGTCTGTCGTTCTGTTTAGTTTCGCAACAAAGGAAGGGTCGCTTGGAAAATTGGCGAGCAATCTTTATGAGGAATACACTAAGAAAAGTCCAGCCATTGCTATAGCGATTTATGCATATTTCATGTACTGTATCCTGAATCCCAGCCTCGATAAAACTGCGAATACAAAACATATTGCAAAATGCGTCAATATTTCTATAATAAACCGGCACGACCAACTCGCTTGTCCGCGATTCCCGAATTATATACGGAATATTAATTTTTTGCTGCTTTTGTTCGTTTTGCGTTCGTATCTTATTTAAATTTAAAATTTCATTTCTCGTTACCTCGAGAGAAACGCGTGCGGAAACTCTTTCTTTGAAGTGTATTGCTATAGGTAGAGAAAACTGTTACATCAGTCTTGATCGCTCAAAAAAATCTTCGAAGGCCACGTGAAACTTGGACTACCCTGTTCATCTGAAAAGAGTTGCGTCTCTTAACGGAAATGGGTATAATATTTCTCTGCGCATTTTTTTGGGGGATTTTGAAAATGTTGTCCTGAACTCAACCAACCGAATTTTAACTGAGTAAAATCTGAAAGGATACAGGTGAAGCGTTAAAATAATTCATTGGTATATAAGACATTGAAGTGAAATGAACCTCAGGGTTCTTGAAATTCTCGCATATTTTTTCGTTCTTCGAAAAATCCGAGAGCTTCGACGAAGTTCGGAAAAAACTTGATGTCTCGCGAGTTTTTCTTGATTTCGTTTTCTTGCTTTGGTAAGAATTATTCTTTTCTTTATCTGTTTTGCGCATGATGTGAAATTCTATGATTGAGTCGTAGACTTCTAAAAAAAAAAAACAATGCGCAATGTCTCAGATTTTCGTGGAAGATTATTTTGAAAGAGTTCCTCCATTTAACGGAACTGCGTTGGCTGTACGTAAATACTGTACTATGTTCATCTCCGTAGAGGCTCCTGTGTTTCGAGAAAGCCATTAAGATTCGACAAAATATAATTTTTCTCGCAGAATTTCTAGTCAAGTTTCGATTCAGCATCCAGCTGACCCATCCATTTCATTTGCCTGGAGTACCCTAGAAACTGTGGAATGACGACACTGAAAACGAAGTCGACGTGTATTCCCTCCTTCGCGGTTTGCACGTCGAGGTAGATTCAAAAGATAAAAACAGCTGGTCCATCCGAAAAGATCAATCAGTGAAATTTCGTTAAAACGAAGTATTCGGGACCTGAGAAGTCTCTCGTTGCATCGAAAAAAAAAAAAATTTATTGTAATGAAGCAAGGACTCTAAAATCCGTTTCAATCCCGAACTCATTTTCTAACAAGACTCTCTAGTGAAAAATAATGCATTAAATTTTCGCTCAAGTGAAAACAAGTATCGTGGTACCCGAGATAATCTATGCTCTGCAGAATACGGTTTTTTTTTCTGACAAGCTGGTTGAACCAAATTTTTGTTCAGTGTCAATTTTTGCTCTCGATAGTAGACCGAGCTTGAGATGAATCACTGTAAGATCAAATTTGAAAAAAAAAAAGTAGCCCTTACGAAAGCCATTTCCTGTAGGTCATTAAACTTTATGAAAGCTTTTCCATGTTCACGATTCTGTTGAACATTGTTCTCCTCATCCCTTTTCCAAATGCTTCGCAAAAGGAAGCAACCGAATGAACTTCCTGACATAGCATTTAGAAAAAGGCTGCAAGACCTCCTAGAAATTTGGGTTTCATAGATCTGGATATGGTCAAATCTTTGTGATGGTTTGAGGTAGACAAATCAGCACATTCTTTACTGAGTTTTTAGTCCTCACATTCGAGTTCTTCCCGGTGACGAAAAGGAAGATTGAAATGTTAATGGAACACGGATAAAGATTGGAAAATAACATTTCAACATCAGTTAATACGGTCTAAGTCGTGAGAAAAATTAGTTGTTTCATCAAACTTCCCATCATTGACTGGATGAACTTCTACAAAAACAGTCAACATTCGCAAAAAAAGTGTCTGCTAACCGGGTCACATCGTAAGAAAAAGGAGGAACCGGTCTTGAAAATCCGGAAGAATCCAAAAATGTGTATTGCACTTGGCAGAGAGACATTGGTTTCATCGAGTGAAGAAAAACCTCTTTTGCCTTTTGATAATTTGTAATGCGTCCGCTCTTCTTCATTCTGGGCTTGTTTCCTCTGACAAGTCTGAAGTACAGTATTTCCTTCGAACTAGCGTTCCAATAGTCTAAAAGAAAAAGGAAATTTAGTTGGGACATGCACAGGAAGAGGATGGAGAAAAAAAAAAAAAAAAGACAAGAAAGGAGAGAAAGAGAGAGAGAGGCCCTACCATAGATTGCGTTTGGCACTTGTCGATAATGCCAGGGGTCTGTGTGTCGAACCCGGGTACTCGATCCCGCGGGACATGTCTGGTAGGCCCTGGAATTTGTTCTGCCTCGTTGCGGTTAATAATTCATTTTCCCTGGCCTCGTCCGTGTTCGGGAAAGCCGATGCGTTTGACTGACGATCTCAATTTATTTCTTGTGTCTCCTCCTGTGTGGAACCCGGCTTTTTTTTCCTTTCATTCTCTTTCTTTCTTTCTTATCACACTTGTACACGCGAGCGGCGGTTTTTTCTGTAATCGAACCGACTGCAAACACGAGAGGAGGAATGCGTTATTGATGCGGAGAACGTACTGTACAGTACTTTGTAGTGGTCTTTGACGAGGATTGTGTTTGCTATGATGAAGCTACGTTTATGTAGTCTAGGAGTATCCGTGTACAGAATACAATTGGTATGACGTTATGGAGAAGGGAAAAACTACTGGAACATGTTTTTGGTCCCCGGGGGGAAAACATTGCGGCTGTTTGAGGTTACTAACTGATTTATTTAATCTTTTGAAAACATTTTTGCGAATGTCTTCGGATGACCGTTTGAGTGCATCTTCCAGCGCTCGTGATCCAAGAATTAAATTACAGTCGAGCCTCTTTAAGACGAAATTAAAGGGACAAGCGAACAAATTCTGGGAACAAGTATTTTTGTTTTGGGAAAGAAGGAGCAATCACGGAAAATTTTAATTGATGATGATAATCTGGACCGTGAATGGATTCTGGAAGGAGTTCACTAGATGCTGAACTTGGAAGCAAGGGTTGATTTGCAGAATCAGTCTTTGAATTCCTTTCAACACTCAACAAGGTACATTTTCATTGGTTTTATCTCTTCTGTGTCAATAGAACAATAGCCAGACGGACTCCAGGAAATTCTGCTCGTGGAGGTTTGAGAGGGGAAGCCTTTGAGTTGAGGAGATTTTTAGACATTTGTTTGGAAAATAATCCAGACAGTGACTCGGGGGGGACATCGAAATGGGGAGGTACTGTATTTAACTAGGGAAAGTTTGAGTTATCGAGGTTCAGCTGTATTTTACAAAAGCTGAATTTTGAAATTACAGTACAGTACTGAGTACCGTACTCAATGTTACTCTGATAATTTGAAATTGCCGTTTTGGAACTTTCAGTTCAAATTGCGAATAATTGAGGATTCATGAGTGATGTTCTGAACGTTTTTGTTTTTGTGAATTCTGTATTTTTGATGATACATTTTAAGCTTCAAATAATTACGAGAAATTATTCTGTGTTGAGAAAATGTCATCGCATTCTGTACTTTTTTCTTGAACACTATTGTGGAAATCATCGTCAGTCTGTGCGGAAAACGATGTGCGTCAATTAAGCTGGAATTCAGAAATACATGCACTAAGTTCTGATTTATTGAGATAAAACGAGAATGAAAACTCTCAGTGATGAAAGCTAATTGAATGAGATATATTTTCGCAAAATGAAGATAATTTTGAGGATGAAACGGTCTCGTCCAACATCATCAGATGATAAATCTGATTTAAAACATTGTTCATTTCTCGACTTCCACGTACTAAATTGCTGATGAGAATTCAGAAAGGTGTAATTTGAGTCACTAACTTCACCGAAATAACCTGGACTTACTCGACTATATTATATAAATCTGTATGGAAATCATGGAGACATGGACGCGAAGAGTTAATTCCAGGAAAATTGACCAGATTTCCCAACCTCTTCGTATATGTTTTGTGATGCTCATATAAATAATCTGAAGTTGAAGACATTAATTTTGATGGATTTTTGCATCAATTTCATCAGTTTTCTGAACATTTATGTTTCCGAGCAATAGCGTCGTTGCTCAATTTTCCGCCATCAACTGAACGGTCGTCTTCAATTCACTTCTTCACTCTTTATATTCTCTGAGTCGTGCACCGGGAATTCATGCACTGAAACGTCGATTCGATGCGAGCATTCTTCAACGACGAATAAAACCAATTTTATTTTCTTTGCCGTGAATAATGTTTGACATGTTCCTTTGACGTTGGAGCATTCATGCGCCACGAAGGACTCTTCCGGTGCGAAGGAGATGAAAGTGAATTTTCCAGTCTGAAATGTCCTCGTTCTTGGTGCAGCTGAAGATCTTTAAAAAAAAATAAGAAGGAAGGAAAGACAATTTTGTGTACCCGAACTGCTGTACAACGCTTTGAAGATCGTTTTTTTTTGTGAGGGGATTGTTGCGAGATGGAAATGCGTAGCTAACGAGTATTTCATGCTTTTTTTTAAATGTTTCGATTTCTATATCTTCGAGGGTAACGAGAAAAGCGAGCTGTGCAAAATGATCAAACAGATTTTTGAGATACAAATGCCCTGTTCAGAACTCAGAACTTTCGTTTGACGATGAAATAGCACCGAGTTGTCTTTGAACGACAGATTCGATGGACTGACAGATGGAAATCTTGTGATTTGAAAAGCTCACGAAATGTTTATGCTTTGCTGTCTAGCAGCATTTTTATTCAGACGAGCTGGCTTCAAAATTGGACTTGAGGGAAAAATGTTTTCCGAAAAGGAGAAAAAGATAGATGCGTATTTTTTCCCGATATTCAGCGTGGCGATATTTCGTAGAATCTAACCGAAGCTAGGAAATAGAAGATTGAAAAATTCTGGGAAATGCTTCCAATGTCACACAAGTATTGCGTCAATTTCAAATTATTCGCTTGACACTAACCTCGCCGAATTCGCATACTGTAATATGAAGAGAAATTCATCATTATCCCCGGAGATTGTGTTCGATGAAATGAATTTTGAAGTTCATGTGCAAATCTGAGGTTTCATAAAAAAGTCTACTGTTTTGTACATAAAATGTAAGACAAACCTTCATTTTTCGAGCCCATCTGTGCCCCAAAAAACTCGTTTTATTCTCCAGATTTTTTTTTTCATTTCAAGAACCTTTCATTCATGTGATGAAAATGTCTCACACCACGTGACAAATTCCAGTGTTAAGTCAGTTAAGAAGTCCCTGTTTTAAGCCTCATGGGAACGACGAATATACCGTATAAGTCATGACTTCAGAAGGGAAATAATTCCCGGTGGGTCGCTTCGCGTTTACCGGAAGTTACCCGCATATTTCACGCTATTCATTGGACGGAGAAGATTTGCTCGATAATGAAGCCAATAATAAAAATGTGGCGATATTTTCTCTTTTGCCCCCCCGTGCCGTGGACAGGAATTTACGACGCCAGGGTTCGAGTGCTCATCCGACACGTGGCCTGGATTTGCAGGATCAGCATGGACCTGGTGGAGATGTACGAAGAATCCGTTGTCGACTTCCTGGCAGAGGAAATGAAGCAGGAAACGGAGTAAGTGTATTTCGTTTAGCTTTTTTTTATTCTATTTTCTCCACGGTCGACTTTTTTTTTGGGTAGTTTTATGTATTGTTGCCTGAATAATTTTATTTATCCTTTTTTTTCTTCTTCGTCGTGTCTATGGTTTCGGGCAAGGCGTGAATACAATCTTCCGGGTAGAATGGTTGGCCATTTCCGGCCTGGGTTCTTGTGGATCACCTGCCGGTAGGAATCGAGTTTCCTGCCGTTGACGAATTTTATTCTTTGCGCTGCTGATTTTTTTTCTAATATTTTTTATGTTGGCTCTCGAGACAGCGTTTCTATTCGGAAAGGAAATATCGCATTTATTTTGCACGAAAACCTTGGATTTTGCACTGTTGAACCTCACTGCGGGTTGATTCATGGGTACCCTTAATAGAGTTCCTCCATCAGCGGTATTTTTTGCATTTATTTTGCAATCAGTTTTTATTAATCAAATTTTTGTCGCATTCATTTCCTGGCGATTTTTCGAAGAACGGGGTGAATTGATCAAGATGAAACGAGGGCCTTGTAAGAGAAGAACAGAAATATGGATTGACCGAAAAATAAATTGTCCTATTCTCAAAAAAATAATGCTTACGTTTCTGAAAGTGCAATTGAACCTCTGTAAATCGAGGCTCCATAAAGCAAATACCGGTACCTCCCCGTGTCAAATTTTTGTTTCAAGTCCCTGTCTGCATTTCCTTAGATACAAATACATTTAAAAACTTCCCTAACTCAAAGGCTTTCCCCCTCAAATCTCCGTGATTCGAATGTCGTAGAGGTATTTTTGACTGTTATTTTACAGAAAAAGCAGAGAGAAAAGCAATACAGTGTACAGTGAATCTAACTTGCATTTTGAAACGAAGTGAAACACCGTTTGAGCAGATGAATTCTTGCCTTCAAGTTCACTATATCCTTTAAAACTCATTAAAGAAGCAATTCAGTGCGCAGAATATAATCAAGTACAATTTTATGTAATTTTTCTTTGTGTCCTTCAACAAGAAGGCTTGTTTCCCCCAACTCAAACCCACCCCCCAAAACTCTAATTTTTTTTACTGGTCCCTTCAAGTTAGACTACAAGAGTTTCGACTGTATTCGTTGCTCCAACTTCTGGAAGAAATCAGTGTTCGAACATCTGTGGACAATTTTTGTCACATTATCACGGGAATCAAAGGAAAGGGACCTTTGTCCTTTGGGACAATTTTGTCTTCCTTTTCTTGAAGTACAGTATTCTGTATTTCTAGCAGCAGGTTTTCATATTTCACAAGTAGAATGCCTACATTCCGCGAGTTGAGGCGATTCTGAGGATGATTTCAACTAGTCTTCACAATTTGATTCCGTTCTTTGCCTTCGAGGACCGTAGAAGCTTATTGATATCGTCGGCTTTTGTTAACCCTCATTATAGTAGGGCATGGGATCTAGGATCCGGTTTAATTGAAGGTGAAATTCGATGCAATGATTCCACACAGGGTCACGTTTCGTGCGTTTAGTGGCTTCGTCCTGGGACCCAACATTCCTCGTTTATATAAAAAAGGACGCATTTCCTCCTCTCTTTATTCCTGTCGCGTCAAACCTGGTATAAGATGTTTGAAGTGTGAAGATATTGGATATTGATGGCTTGAGTCGGTCTGAACTTGAAAAATTCGAGATGAAATATTGAATGATTTCCATGAATTCATTCAGAGTTGTATATTTATGCGACCTGAAGTCGTTGCGGGGTGAGATTAGTTTCAAAAGAATTAATTTATCATGATGAAAATTATTGGGCCTAGGAAAGTGATGGTAGAAATGCTAAGGGAACGTGGGAAAAGTTAACCGAATCATCAGTCGAAAATTGATATTTTAGTCGTTTAGACGAGGCCAGGGAAAATATGGTATTCTGGAGAATTTCACTGTACAGTAGAGGAAATCATGGGGGCGAAAAGTGTACCTGTGTTTCCTTTCGTTTGAAGCGTACGCGTGAATACGAAACTCGTTACAACGAAGGATTTGAACCATTCTTATTCAAAACCGCTATTCAAAATCCCCGAAGAGTTTTTTGAAAATGAAATTAGCTTTACGAAGACGTCTTACGTAAATCTCCTGCGCGCATTATTGATCCTGTGCAATTCTTAAATATTTATTCAATATTTTATTTCGATTATGGCCACAAGCCTTAAGACGAGACAGCAAATAAAAAGGAGAAGGGTGAGAAAGAATTAGAGTGGGGCTCTAACGTATGGACGCCCCGACATACGGACGACTTATTAGGGACACGTGAGAAAAAAATGTCTTAAAATGTGGGTACTGTACTTAGCTGAAATTTCTAGAAAAATGCAAAAATTTCATTTGTCATTGAAATATCTGAAACAAATGTAAATTTTAATGGTCAAAAAATTTAAAAATAAATTTGAAAATATGATTCTTCTAATTCATGATCAAAGAAAGCTAATTTTTGATGCTTCTTTTTTTCAGTTTTTTTCTATCATCTTCGCGCAGTACAGCAAGAGTTGAACTTGTTATTCTCTGTTTGAGGCTCGTTTTCATGCCAAAAAATCAGATTCTGTGTGGTTTTCTTTTGCACAGCTTTTTCTGCATCTTCAAGTTTTTAAGAGCATGATTCACTTTTTGGGCGACTTATTCCTCATTTTCGATGAACCGGAGAATCAATTACAGTGAATATTTTCCCCTTGAAGTCCCAGGGAAAACATGATCCCACATGCGGACGAACCAACATCAGGTTTCGTCCGCATCTCGGGGTTCCACTGTAACGTCAACGTCTGTCTCAACAATTCTCACAACGACGCCCAGGTCATTCATCGAATACTCAGGGAAATGCAAATCGAATTTCAGCCAAAATGCCGTTGTTCAGCGAAACGGAGTCGGAACAAGAAGGCCAGAAAGATCCCAGGAGATACGATCATTTTCACCTTTCCGGGAAATCAAGATGAAAATAAAGTGAGGGAGAAATTGAGCAGGAAAGGAAGGAAAGGGAATGTAATCTACATTCCGGAGAGTACAATACTGTATATACAGTATTACAGGGGGCAGCACGTCTCCCAGGGTTACCCCCAATACGTCGAGGCCCTCTATAGCTATTCTTCATTCGGCATTGTCACGCATACATTTTCGACGAGCAAGTTGCCAGCTGCTGTCGGCGGCAGCCAAGAAATCTGGCAGATTCCCAGAACAGGATCCTCGTTCACTTGCTCTTTTTCTATCCATAATTCGAGGAGAGCCTTCTGCTGCGTCGTGGAGAGAATAAATGCAATTCTCGTCAGGTCACCGACTTTCTTTATTCTCATCCTAGTCACGGGGCAATACAAAAAGGAGGAAGAGTAAGCAACCTTAGGAAAGATGCGCGAGAGGAAACTTTGTCACGGCAAAGAAGAAGAAGAGAGTCATAGATTGGTTATTTATTCATTAACGCCGATTGGTTTGCTTCTTGGGACACGGAATGTCTGTGCGAAACACAAGACGCAAAAATTACGTCTCTTTTGTCTTTTTTGTCGGTAGACATTTTTCCAGCCGCATTTGGGTTGATCCATATTGGTTTTTTTTTCTATCTCGTGTTTCTGGTGCCTGATTTTTCTCTACAATTGTTGACGAGAACTTCATCTATGAGAACCCCGTGCGTTCCCCTTTTGATTAAGAAAAAATTATTTATGCGAAGAAAATCATTGCCGGAAAAATTATAGAGAGAGAGAGTTAACCTGTATAATGATTATTTTGGTCCTGTGGCCAGTGTAGGGTTCTCTCCCCATTTTATACACGGGTTCTCTGCAAGGAAATTATCTTTACGCGGATTTTTTCGGTCCTGATTTTTTTGGTAATGATTATTTTGGTCCTGTGGCCAGTGTAGGCCGTAGGGTTCACTCCCCATGTTATACATGGGTTCTCTGCAAGGAAATTATCTTTACGCGGATTTTTTTCTATTTCAGGTCCCTGGAGTTTCATTGTACTGAGAGTCCACCTAACATCTATGCCCATTTTTCTGACGATTATTTCAAAATGTAGCAACAAAAAGTGTGTGTCGAAAGAAGATAGTATTTCGTGAAAGATCGAGCATCAAAATCGATTCTTGGTTTTTATCTTCCGGAATTTCTTGTTAATTTTTTGGTTATGCCATTGATTTAAAATCTAATTATATCCCTCTCATTCTTTGAAATATTTGTAATATTTGGTTATGTTTGAGCCGATTTTTATTTTAGATTTGGTTTACTCAGCCTTTTTACGAAGACGCTGAGCTTTTAGAGCAAAACATTCGTGTTTGACAGAACTGTCCACCATCTCTCTCAACAAGAAAAATGGTATCTTAATCTGTTCAATGCATGCATTCTACAAATCGCTATCTGAATGGAAAGAACCTGGAGTAATTAGACACGAATTTTAAATTTTAAATTGGCATTAATTGTGCTTATTAGGTTTTGCTGCTATGTTATATTAAAATAGCTTGTGTATAGAAAGCTATTGCAATACAATATTTCACTAAAAAAATGATTGGTACCAGGATAAAACTTCGTTATAACGAAGAATTCGTTATACAGTATATGCATTCGACGAAAATTTTACCTTATTTTGGGCGGGGACCTAAAAAAACGAACTCGTCTTTTAGAATAATTTTGTAACGATATTAGTTGTAACGATATTATATTACTGTGTATCTCTTGCATAGAAAACTGAACTGCAATCCAGATCCGCTCACTGAATCGATATAAAAAAAATCGCGCTTTGTGGGAAAAATAAATTTATTCTTTTAAATTTTAACAGCGTTGGATAGTGAAATTTTTTTTTAAATCGAAGACACCATTTTAAATATATTTTTGCCTGTGGTTTTGTTCTTCAAAAAAGTTGGGCAGTACCTGTTTTAGAAAGCTTTCAGAAATTCACCATGCAGACAGCCTGTCTGTGACAAGTCTTTGAACAAGCCGTTCGTCCGCCGTTTGATTTCACGACATCTTTAAAAAAACTCTGCAATAATTCCCAGATAAGAAGAATGATTTAAAAAAAAATGCAAGA